TACAGTATGTACTAGAGTTGCTGGTGAAACTAAATTGTGCTGGTGAAACCTGTGACTATCTAAAATCTGATTGGCTATTGCACTCAATAGCCAATCAGAATTTAGATAGTCACCAGTTTCACCAGCACAATTTAGTTTCACCAATAATATATTAGTAGCTGATAGGTTATATTAATAATATATTATATAGTAGGTTATACTATCTACAGATAGTTAAGATTAGGATTAGAGTTAGCAACTATTACACACGTAAGTATAATTAACGCTTATGACCAGTGTTGTTACTGGAAGATCACCGGAAGGTCACTGGAAAGTAAAATCATTAGCGTCACTGGAACCGGTGACAACACTGCTTATGACCATACGTTAATAAATTTATTACTCTGGCTATATATATATGTATATCCGGATCGACTAACATTATACTGATATGGTACATATACTGGTAGATCGATGCGCATTATATATATATACACCGGTCGTTTTGATAAATGCCATAATTTTACAAATGTTGTGTCGTTCGATCAGATCCAAATTTACTTTACACGCTAAAAAAGTCATACCAGAGCAATGTTTCAACACTATTCATTATAATAATAATAACCATTATTGTAATAGATATTTTAAAAATCTTAATCCTCATGTCATTAAAACTCGAAACCTTTTTTATTTACCTACTAGTAGTTTAATATTTAATCAGCACAAAAATGACCTTTGTCAAGCACCTTTGATAAAGTCATTTGGAAGCAAATTAAATAAAATTTATTTGAGAAATTTTATCAAGGTAGCTACTTTGAATGTATTTTGAAATAATTCGATTAAATTAACATTTTAAATTCTTTATTAGTTATCAGATACCGAAAATTCTGAAGAAATATTAATTAAGCCAATAACTGTATGCACCACTACATCTAAAATATCTGTAGAGTGGCAGGATAACCAGACAAGTAAATTGTAAATGCCATCTTTCATACACGTAAACCATATTTTAACTAAGCAAATTTATAACTATTGTTTCAATTCACGTACAAAAAGTCATAATATTTGGCTAAGGGATCATTGTAAATGTCCAGAATGTTATCATCAAGTTACCAGACAACGACTGCTGGATACATTTTTGGTATTCTTTTATATATAATGTTCAACTTTTCATTATTTGTCCAAAGATTTTTATATAATTAATCTACATATATAGATCCCAGAAGACATAAAGGCGATGCATACATCACCTGGCTTATATGGGATTGAAATCAGATGTATGCATTACTATTTCCAAAACTAGATTATATAATTATCAGTCTTTTGATTATGATGTTTCTTGCTTCTATAGGGAGTGACGAACATACAAGTTTTTTTAAATGGAGTTGGCTTAGAAGACACTCATATGATCCTAAATTTATTGACTCTGATAAAAATTTAAATGTGCAAGTATCATTAAATAGTTTTATTATTACGTCGTATCTTGAATAAGTCTAAATTCATATTCATACAATTATAGGAAGACTTTATGGGACGCAGGAATCAAAGATTGTCCGCCAATCGTTCAATATATTGATGTTGTTTATTAAATTTTCACGTATCATAATTGAAATGGTGGCTATATGGAAATTAACAATATTTTACACTATATTTTATATTAGGTTATGAACAAAAAAGAAGGATTAGCAAGCTTGCTTAAGAAAATTGTATGCGTTTTATTCTCATGTCTCTGATTTTATAATTGGACTTATTTTAATTATTTGTTTTAAATATAGAATAAATTTGGTTTTTGCTTTGTTGATGGTGTTCCACATGCAGTTAAGGAAACTGAAGAATTAGCAAAAAAAATCTGTTTTATTCGTGAAACACATTATGGTATCCATTATTATATCTCATTTAAATAATTGACATTCTTTTTTTTTTCCTGTTTACTAACTTATAAATAATTTGGATTTGTAGGCGGCTTTTGGGATTTCACAGCAGATTTAGAGTACGGAGATACAGCATATACCAATCTTCCTTTAAGAGCACATACGGATAATACATATTTTACTGATCCATCAGGGTAAATTACAATATACCAACTGATTCAAAAAGTTTAATATTACTTTTATGATTAAATTACGTTTAGTCTTCAAATGTTTCATTTGCTAGAGTTTGATGGAGAAGGCGGTTCTTCATTGTTAGTGGACGGTTTTCATGTAGCTCATCAGTTAAAAATGAAATCACCCATTGCCTACAAAACTCTTTCTACTATTGCAATCCCAACTCACTCTGCAGGCGATCAAAATACTTTAATTCAACCAACTCCTAACGCATATCCAATTTTAAATCATGATCCTTTGTCGAACGATTCTCTTTATCAAATCCGTTATAATAATGATGATCGATCGACAATGAATAATTTGGAACCTGATCAAGTTTTGGAATTTTACGATGCTCTAAGAAAATGGAATAGTTTATTAAAAGATGAAAGTAATGAATATTGGTTTCAATTAAAGCCAGGAAGAGTTGTTATCTTTGATAATTGGAGAGTATTGCATGGTAGAGATAAATTTAGTGGGCATAGAAGATTGATTGGATGTTATCTGAATTGGGATGATTATCAAAGTAGATTAAAAACTTCACTTTTAAGTCGAGAAGAGATTATAGAAAGTTTGTAAAAGACTGCCTTATTCTTTGTCATAAATTAGATACTCTAATATTTCGTGCTAGGTGTTTTTCTCCAATGTTTATTAATTTATGTGACGGCTGATGCTGAAGTTTGGCTGATGTTGAAGCTAAAAAATCTGATTGGTTAGGGTTAGGGTGATCTGCAAAATTTAGCCAATCAGATTTTTTAGCTTCAACATCAGCTGTCTGTCATTTTATATATTTATTTTAATATGCGTAAATATACAAATTTCTTTCCTTTCTTTTTTCAAATAATGAAGTGCGATCGTTGTAACCATAACAAACCAAATGAAGCTTTTGAAAGTTCTAAAGCTAATAAACAAAAAAATTCCAATAATAAACGTGTGTTGATTGTCACGTTCAAGTTTCTGCAAACAATAAACGAAAATATATTGAAAAACAAAATGAAAATATAGCAATAAATCAAGAAAACGCAATAGCGCCAGAAGACATTGTAGATTTTATTTTTAATAATCTTCCAAGCGATTATAATATGGATGACTATTTATTTGAAAAAAGGTTCTTCATTGTCTTGGAACCATTAATAGATATTGTTGATTCAACTTCCGATGAGCATATTAATAAAGCTGTTGCGCAACATATAATCAAGCTTATTTCAAAGGCTGATAATTTTTCCTGGATCTATCATAAATGCAATGTAACAAAAAATCAACTGCATTCGTTTATTATTGCAATTGTCGTGAAGAATTAAAAAGTAAAAAGCCACGAATTGCTGAAATATTAAATAGACGAGACACATTGCCAAGAATTAATCGATATGCATGTGGTGGCACAATTCGGATTAATATAGATCGATCTTGTAATTTGGCGATAGTAGGTATCTATCATTATATTCATCCACCACCTGAAGCGATGGAAGTTTCTTCTCAAATCCGTGATTATATTATTAATAATAGTCTATTGACGGTTCCACAACTTTACAATAATATTAAAGAGCAACAACTTGATGGATTTTCACATATTACCCAACATCAAGTTTATTATTGGTTCAAAAAAGTTACAACAAAAGAATATATGTTTTCCGGTGATCAATTAGCATCAGCTAGACAATATTTGGAAAACAATTATCAGTTCAAACTCCTTTTTCAAGACCAAAACTCATTGGCTTTTTTAACACCCTTGCTATTCGTATTGCCAAATAAAGTTACAAAGACAATTGTAGTCGATGCTACATATGGTACAAACCGTTTAAAATTTGAGCTATATGCTGTTATTGGAATTATTGATGGTTCTGGATTTCCCTTATCATATTTTTTTCTTGAACCAAAATGTGGTAAAACGCAAGCAATTACAAGATGGTTTCAATATTTAAAGGAAAATGGAATTCAAAACATTGAAACTATTTTAATGGATAAGGATCGTGGACAAATAATAGCTGCTAATAAAATTTGGACTAAAGCAAGGATTCAACTGTGTTATTGGCACGTGATACGTGCAATAAAAAAAAACTTTCAAGTACTGGTATCATGTATAATCACTATAATGCTTATAAGGCAAATTCACTTTGTCCAATTA